GGTCCCCCGTTAAATCGCCAGGGTAACCGGTCCCCACAGCGAGGAGGTGGAAGGGCACCTCAAGGAGGATGGCATCCAGGCTTGCCGCAGGGCAGACCCTGGGAAGACTTGGGCTTGGACCAGCGATTATGGCAGGAACGCGTGAACATGGGTCAGTGCGTATTCTGTGGTGACCCGGCTGCTCAGCAGTCAAAAGGCAGCCGCCAGTAGGGGTCGCAACTGCCCCTACTTCCAGGGCATGTGGAGAAGTGAGCGCGCGTGAACAGGACACTCCCAACCCACATGAGCCTATGTCAGAGGTTGCAGGCCCGTGCCTAGATAGCTGTCCAGAGACTGCTTGTGTTAGCGTCTCTTTAGGCACGTCCCTCACAGGTGTGGCAGAAGAGTGGCAGAAGAGTTAAAAGAGAGAATGCCAACCTGGGCCAAAATGAAAAGGGAGAGTAAGGGACAACTGATTTTGGTAGATGTAGAGGTGTTCAGAAGTAGAGTAGGGGCCCTTATAGACTCAGGGGCTACCCGTAGTTACATTAGTCGTAGGGCGCTGAAGAAGCTGAGGCTAGGACTAAAGGTCCATAAACTAGTAGACCCCATAGTCAGTGTCCTCACAGACAACCGCACGATGCGTGTTGAGGACTACGTAGAGGGAATCCAGGCGTACTTTCGCCTAGAGAAGAATGGAAAAGTGGAGAAGGTCCTCCATTCTTTGACTCTCCTCGTGCAAGATGACCTTCCTTTTGATATAGTGTTGGGAATGGATTGGGGAGAGGCAGCAGGGGCCACACTTCATTTAAGAGAGCATGAGTGTAGATTCCCTAGCCCGGCATGCGAAGTTAAGACTGCCCGCTTGTTCCATGTGTCGGGTGTAGATAACACCTTGGCACATTGCTGTCTCAGTGCTCTCGCGTTCGCGCGATTAGTCAAAAAGGAGCAGTTAGAAGACCAGGTCTTTGTAGTTTATGTTAGACCTGTCACTGAGGCCGAGGAAAAGGATAGCTCCACAGATCCAACAATTGCCAAGCTGCTTGAAAAATTCAAAGACTTGACTGAGTCGCCGACAGGAGTAGTGTCGCGACCCATCCAGCACAGGATAGAGATAGAGCTTGGCAGTAGAATTCCTAAGGGTGCAGTCTACAGGATGTCCCCTAGAGAGTAAGAGGAGCTTCGCAAGCAGTTAGACGCACTCCTTGAGAAGGGTTGGATTAGGCCTTGTTCGTCTCCTTTTGGAGCATCAGTCTTGTTTGTCCCCAAAAAGGAAGAAGAGCTTCGTATGTGCATAGACTATAGGGGTTTGAATGCGATCACCGTGAAGAATGCTGAGCCGCTGCCCAGGATAGACGATCTTTTAGATCGGGTGCAGGGTTGTAGGTACTTCTCCAAGATAGACTTGAAGTCCGGCTACCATCAGATAGAAGTCCATCCTGATGATCAGTATAAGACTGCATTCCGGACTAGATATGGGCACTATGAGTTTCTAGTGATGCCCTTTGGACTAACCAACGCGCCAACCACTTTTCAGCGTTGTATGAATGACGTGTTTAGACCATGGTTAGATACGTTTGTAGTAGTCTATGTAGACGATATCCTAGTTTTTAGTAAGACCCTCCAGGAGCATCAGGGTCATCTGAGGCAGGTCTTGGAGAAGCTTAGAGACGCTAACTTGAAGATCAATGCGAAGAAGTGCGAGTGGGCCAAGACGCAAGTTTTGTACTTGGGCCACGTATTAGACGGAGATGGCATCAAGCCAGAGGACAACAAGATCGCGGTGATTAGAGATTGGCCGACGCCCCGCACATTGACAGAGTTGCGGTCGTTCCTAGGCTTAGCTAACTACTATAGGAAGTTCGTGAGGAACTTCTCCAGTATCGCCGCTCCCTTGCGTCGATTGCTGAAGAAAGAGGCAATCTGGCAATGGGACAAAGACTGTACGTCTGCGCTCAAGAAGCTAAAGCGCGCGGTAATAGAGTATCCTGTCCTCAAAGTTGCAGATCCGTCTTTGCCATTTGTCGTCACCACGGACGCGAGTCAGTATGGGATAGGCGTCGTGTTGCAGCAAGACGACGGCAATGGCTATAGACCCGTAGAGTTCATGTCAGCGAGGATGCCCTGTGAAAAGGTTGTTGCCTCCACGTACGAGAGAGAACTCTACGCTCTCAAGCAGGCTTTAGATCATTGGAAGCACTACCTGCTTGGGAGGTACTTCAAAGTGTATTCGGATCACGAAACGCTTAGATGGTTAAAGACTCAGGCCAAGATGACACCTAAGTTGACTAGGTGGGCCGCAGAGATAGACCAATTCGACTTTGAGCTCAAGCCAGTGAAGGGCAAGTACAACGTAGTTGCGGATGCTCTGAGTAGGAGATCAGACTACTTTGGAGCTGTAGTACACTATCTGGATATAGGGAGAGATCTGCAGGAGAAAGTGAGGCAAGCATATGTGCAGGACCCTATCTATAGCGACCTCCTAAATAGAGTTAGGGAGGCCCCAAAGACTGAACCAGATTACCGCACTACAGACGGGTTGTTGTTTGAGAAGACTAATGTGTTTGACCGCCTGTGCGTTCCCAACAGCGAAGAGATCCGCAGCTTGATTTTAGGGGAATGCCACGATACTGAAGGGCATTTCGGTTGGCAAAAGACATTAGCCAACCTGATGCGTGCATATACCTGGCCAGGAATGAAGAATGACTGCATAGAGTATGCCCGCAGTTGTGTGCCAGAGGAATAAGTCTAGTACACGCGCACCCCTAGGTCTTCTCAGACCCTTGCCTATTCCGGATCAGCCGGGAGACTCCGTGTCCATAGACTTCATGGACACCCAAGTCAAGAGTAGACATGGTAAGAGCCAAGTCATGGTCGTAGTGGACCGTTTTAGTAAATATGCAGTTTTCTTCCCTTTGCCTGCAGAGGCACGTACAGACTTAGTTATACAGAAGTTTTTTGACTTTAGGGTTAGTGAGAATCGAATCCCTGTGTCAATAGTTAGTGATAGAGACAGTCGTTTCACCAGCCAGAACTGGCAAGAACTCATAAGAGTCCACGGATCTAAGTTGTTAATGTCGTCCGGCCGTCACCCAGAGACTAACGGTCAGACAGAACAAATGAACAAGATCCTACAGCAAGTTTTGCGCATGTACATTAGACCAGATCAGATTAACTGGGATGAGATGTTGCCTAAGGTAGCTAGTGCATACAACAACAACGTGCATCTATCCACCTGCCGCACTCCCAATGAGTTGCACACTTTAGACCGCGCAGACCTTTCGAAGGACTGAACCGGGATCAGATTCACAGATTACCGCCCGGTACCAGGGAGTTTGTGATACAACACGAAAAGGAGTTAGCCACTGTTGTTGAGAACCTTCGGAAGGCCCAGCACAGAATGATAGAGCAGGCTAATAAGCACCGTCGCCCATCACAGTTTCAAGTAGGCGACTTAGTCTGGGTCAAGGCAAAAGAGTTTGCACCGGAAGAAAACATCTCGCAGAAGTTACTGCCTGCATATAGAGGACTGCGGCCTGTTCTAGAAGTCAAGGGCGGAGAGGATGGACCGTCCTACAGCATTGAGATTCCAGCATACCTCCACACATTCCCTGTGTTTCATGCTTCAAAGCTGCTGCCGTGTGTCACTAGTCAACAGTTCCCTTCCAGGAGATCCATGATCCCACCGGATATGGATGGGAGCTATGACATAGAGGGCATTGTAGAAGAGGATTTGTTTAGGACAGGAGGTAGAGGTCGTCCCCAAAAACAGTATGAAGTCCGGTTTGCCTACCAGGAACCGGAAGACGACCGCTGGTTCACGAAAGCAGAACTTCTAGAGACTGCTCCCGACATAGTCAGAGCCTATGAGTGTGACAAGAAAGGTAAAGGTCCCGCCTTGGACTGAAATTTTCTTTGAGGACCTCGAAATTAGGACGGCGGGAGTGAAACGGTTTTCACCTTTTTAACAGTGGCGGATGCAGTACCCAGGGTTCGATCCCTAGACCTCACCCTACCCATGTACAGTATCTGTGTAGACCCCGAGAACTGAACCTGTGACCTGTGTATTCGTAGGTAGTTGGTAGGCCTATCGTAGGTCCATAGGCAGCAGGGGTTCGATCTGTAGGTCTATAGCGTAGGAGTCTTAGTGAGTTCCGGACGCTTAGTTGTAGACCTTCTAGAAGGTAGGCAAGTGGGCAAGTGGTCAAGTGGAGAGGCAAGTGGTGGACTAAACCGCAGTGCAACAGCAGTTCAATGTCTGTAGGATAGCGGTAAGTCCACAGTCAGTCAGCGGAAGGTCCAGTCAGTCCCAGTCCGGTCCAGCAAGTACCACGGGGGGACTGTGAGCACCAAGGGCCGAAGGCAAAGGGCAGACCAACGAGTTTCTGAAGTATAAATCAAGAGGCAGCGCCCAACCATTCATTCATTCCGGCGTGAGCCATGCCGAAGCGCTGCCACAGCGACTTGTGCAAGGAGGTCTGCAGATGAGCCCGGAGGACGCAGTGGGCGAGAGAGAGGGAGTTAGCATAGCGATAGGTTAGATGCAGCGATAGCTGCCATAGTTGTAGTTAGTAGTGAGTGTGTATGTGTGTTCGAGTGTTAGAGTGATGCGTGTGGGATATCCAGGGTGATGCGTGTGGGATATCCAGGGTGATCCAGTGTATGTGAACAGTGAGATGTTTGGGCGCTGAAGTCGCCATAGCCAATTGAGAGTGAACTCGTATCTGAAAGCCATATCTCTGAGTTTTGAGTGGGCGCGTGTCGCCAGTATGCTGCGTTGCTGTTTACATGTATGAAAAGTGGGTTTGAGAACGAGTCTGATTGCATCCGTGCTTACTATATCTCTGAGCTTTGAGTGGGCGATTGCCGCCAGTTTGCTGTATTGCCTGTGTACATGCATGCGAAGCGTGAATGATTGCGAGTCTGATTGCACTGGTATCAGAGCTGGTTCCTGCTACCTCATGCGCCATCGCCGTTGTAGCAGGAGAGACACGTAGGCGCCATAGTTGAAGTGCGCCACTATTGAAGAAGAGGTCCGCCATAGCTGCGCTGCGGAAGAAGGTGACGCGTACCTGCACAGAGGACAACGACGAAGAAGACAAGAAGAGAGAGAGAGAGAGAGAGAGAGAGAGAGAGAGAGAGAG